TTCAAAGGTCTAAAGGATGTGTAAGGAAACATGTAATCATGGATTTAGCACAAGCATCTTAGGAAACATAGAACTTAAAATGAGCATTGAAGCATGGACAGAATAGGAACTTTAAAACTAGTTTTCATTCCTCCAGAGGACTGCTAAGATAGCCTCATGAAAATGTTAACATGGGGTGTGTTTCTTTGGTCCTGTTCCTTGTTCAACTTGAATGGACTTGCATAGTATTTTCAAATATTTAGGTAATGTACAAGAGTTCTATGAAACAACATTGCTCCAGAAGCTTCCTTTGTTTTGAATGAATTATATCAAGTTGGAATTTAGAAAAATTTTACTTCTTACCTAAATAATTTTTGTTGAATATTGTCAAGATTAAAAGGTAAAAAGTAAATTTTACTTTTTTTTGACTATTATTTATTTTCTGTCTCTTAAATGTGTTGTTGCTTCAGAATATAGTGTAGATTTTTTTTTTCCCCCATCATTTTTTTTTTTTTCCCCATCATCACACAGATATTCCCTGCCACAGTGCTTGGCAGAAAGAGCACCCTCAAAAAATAAATACACACAGAGTCTTCCAGATGTGTTCAGATTAAATGCAAGTCTCTTATCAAGGACTACAAGCCTTTTGTACCATCCCTGTTCTCTCAATCTGCACTTCCCTTGTCTTTTGACCTGGAATGCTTTTCCTTCAGTATTCAAAGGCAGATAAAGAAGTTTCTCAAGTTCTGGAAATTGCAAGTCAGTCAGTGTTGATGGAGATAGTGAGTGTGATAGGAGATTGCATTTAAAGGGTTTCTTAAATATTGGTTGGAAACTTGTAGGCTGTGCTAGTATTTTGTAGTTAAATTAACAGGAGTTTCCAAAAAGAGGACATGGTCAAATGCTGTGGAGAAGTATGGCATCCAGAGGGCTACATTCTTAACAAAGGGAGTGGTATTGTTGTGGAGTGTGTCAACATGTGACTTAGAATGAGGAATTGGAGATGCACGTGTGGAAAACTGATTTAAGAAGTTAGGTTCCACATGGAAACCAAACTGGTATTTTAATTGCTATGGGGAGAAATGAAGTCAAGATTGATTGTGTTGTTGCTGTGTGTTTTGTTTTTGCTTCACTTTCTTTCCATTGAAGAGTTCTGGAAATTGTATCAGGCTCCTGTTAATGACAAAGAGGGAGGGAGGAGAAAGGGAGAGACCAAGAGAAAGAGAGAGAGGGAGGTTGAGAGAGAGAGGGCAATTGAGAGTACCCCTGATTTTGTAAAAGGGATAGTAGACACTTGGAAGATGACTCTAAGAGAGAGTACAGATGGGGCTCCAATTCAAATGAGGATTTTTTATTTGCTAAGAGCAAAGACATGTGTTAGTTGCACAGTCATGCCCAGCTCTTTGCGACCTCATGGACTGTAGCCTGTTAGGCTCCTCTGTCCACTGGATTCTCCAGCCCAAGAATATTGGATTGGGTAGCCATCCCCTCCTCCAGGGGATCTTCCTGACCCAGGGATAGAACCCAGGTCTCCTGCATTATAGTTAGATTCTTTACCATCTGAGCCACCAGGCATATTACCAAGAGCAAAGATACATTTCCCTTTTAATAGGAATAAGGTCCAAGTACATACAGATTTGAAGATTTGGTGGTAGAAAAGTAAGAAATGTCCTCTCTGATGACTTCTAGTTTCTCAGCACACATGCGTGTACCATGAGAGTCACAAAGGAATAGAGCTTAAAAGGAGTTAGAAGAAAGAGGAACAGCTCCAGAATACTCATGCTGATTCTGAGGACTGATGCTAACTAAAGAAATAATACCAAGATTGAAGGCAGGAGGAGAAAGGGACGACAGAGGGTGAGATGATTGGATGACATCATCGACTCAATGAACATGAGTTTGGGTAATGTCCAGGAGATAGTGAAGGACAGGGAAGCCTGGCATGCTACAGTCCATGGAGTTGCAAAGATTTGGAGATGACTAAGCAATTGAATGACAAGACAATTGTGTAGCAACATTGCATGTCCCACTTGGATTTAGAGCCATGATTTGAAGGCAATGGATAATTCATGATTTTTTGATATTTTTTCTTGAAATACATTGAACCCTACAGTTTTCCTCTCTATACTTCTACTTGGATTTCTTTAGCCACCTCAAATTAAATGATACTTTAAACATAATTACTATCTCCCCAAACACATTTCATATCTAGTGTTCTCTGTCTGAGAAAATGGCACCAGTATTGGCTGTGAAGTTTAAGCCAAACACCTTAGAGTCATTGTTAAGATTTTTCACTCATACGTCTGATCTATTAAATGTATGATGAAATCTTGCTGATTTTACCTCATATTCATCTCCTGAATTTACCTACTCTTATCTATCATCACTCTTGTGATACTAGTGATTGGAACCGCTCTTGTCTGTTTCCAGACCAATGCAACAGAGACAGAAGGGCCAAATGCCTCCACCCATGCTTCTTGTCAATCCATTGCCCATGCTAGAGAGAAATGGTCTCTTACACACTACTTTGATCTTACTATTAACATTTCCCTGCTTACAACATTATAATGACCTGTTTTTACCCATTAATTAAAAGTTCCAAATATTACAAACCATAATGTGTTTCTGACCTGGTATCTTCTTCCCTAACATCATCTCTGCCTCTCTGTTGCCACTATCTCCCTGATCAACTTTTTAGTGTTTTCCATCTCCCTACTTGTTCTCCTCTCCTTTGAAAAGATTTTACTCTCTAAGGCACTGCAGTACTCCTCCTCAAATTGGATAATTTTCCTGATCTTTACGTATCAGTGGAGACAGCTTCCTGAAGTGTTCTTTGGCATTCCAGTCTAAATTAGGTGTCCATATTCACTTCCCTGCTCTTTTTCTTTCCTGCATAATCATATTTATAGTTACACATGCAGTGGCTTTAATACTCATAAAGGCAGGGCCAAATCTATCTTTTTCACCTTTGTAACCCAGTGGTAAGCAAAATTTCTGGCTCACCACCTGCTGAAAGCATTTTGTTCAGCTTCTCTACTGAAGAGAAGGATACGATTTTCCACTTTTTACTTACATTTATATCATTTCCTATTTCTGAACTTCCCATGGAGGACTGAAAAGCAGTGTTATATATGATATTATATAAAGTTTTTAAATTAAAAGAAATTCATTAAAAAGAAATGACTTTTGTTTCATGAATGATAAATGAGTTCCAAATATGCAGAATGTGTGGATTGACAGTTCATGTCTTTGAAAGAAAATTATTTTTGAAGTGAGAATGGTTATACCGAAAAGGATAAAAGAAGAAAAATTGGATAACTTAGCTAAGAATGGTACTGGCTGCTACAGCAATCCTATTATAAGAAAAATAATATTTTAAATCTTCTCCTAATCATTTAACTACAAGAATGTCCCTAATACTATCAAAAAGCTCTTCTTATCTTTCAAATACCTTCACATTCAGTCTGAATTTATAAGAGCATTAGGTTTTACTATCGCTATAATTAGATCTACTGAAAAATACCTTCTCATTTTTGTCAATTCCTGATTATTCATGGTGATGGCAGAAAGCCTTAGCATGGATTACTGAAACCCCAAATCATTTATAGCACATGAAAATTAGCCCTATTTCATTATGTCTATCAGAATTTCCATGGAAATACAAATTTACTTTTAAGCTTTAGCAAATGTTCATTGATGCTTGAGTAAATTCTCTTGAGTATATATAGTGGATTTTTAGAATAGGAAAAAAAAACATAAATAGTTGATTAACTTTAAGTTAACTAAGCTCCAAAAAAGTAATCAAACTATCAGTTTTATGGTCTTCACATGGTTCATAGTGGACAATCAGAATATTTAAGTTTGGCTTTATTACCTATTGAGAAGAAAGAGAAAGATAAAAGCTTAGGGAATACAGAATAAGGAAACTTAATTTGTTAACATTTACTTACCTGACCACTAACTTAACAAAAATATCAGAGATTTTCTTCACGTGATTCTGCGTAGTTCAGTTACATTTTTCTTGCCATGTCATTCACTCTGGTGTGCATTACATAACAATATGTGAATACTTTCTGTAGTCAAACACTGTGATAAGTATTGTAAATGCAAAATTGAATAAGGCACATTTTTCCCCTTTGTAGAGCATTATAATTTTTGTGTTATAAACATGACTGATACCAGAATAGATGAATGTTGGATTAGTAAGGATCTCAATGAAAATTTCTAAAATGGAGTAAAATGTGGGGGAAAAAAAACAAACAAACCCTGAAGACTGAATCCTCTTGAAATTATTATAATATATATTAATAGTAATGTGAATGATATACTAGCTCAATCATGCGTTCTCTCCATTCTAACAGAATTTTGTGAAGGTTTTATATTCCCTGTTGGCTAAGTGGGTAAAGAATCCGCCTGTGGTGCGGGAACCACAGGAGATGTGAATTCAGTTCCTGGGTTGGGAAGATCCCCTGGAGGAGGAAATGGCAACGCACTGCAGTGTTCTTGCCTGAAAAATCCTGTGGACAGGGAGCCTGGCGGACTACAATCCAAAGGGTCCCAAAGAGTTGGATACAACTGAGTGACTAAGTACACAGTTAGTTGACTTATTAATTTAACAACAAAATTTTGAGCAACTATTGTGTACCATGCCATTCTCTGAGCATAGTGGAAATTTTGTTTTTTTTCAACATAAGTTGTTTTAATAATAGCATAAATGAAAGTTATATTCAAAGCACTTTGTTTAAATACATATGATTATCTTTATAATATTTATTGTAACATAAGAATCATTGTAAATATATTCTGATCATGTTTGATTTAAATACTTTAAATAAATATTTGATTATCTGAATGAATAGCCTGTTATTTATGATTCAGAAACTTATGAAAAAAATTTGAAATGAATGAAAGGATGGTGTTACATGAAATCTGTGTATAGTAGTCAAAATAATGACATTATTCACAAAGCAAACACTGCATCTGTTCCAGGGAAAAGCTTAGTCTCTTATTTCTTTTGACAGTGTGCAGACCTGGGTTCTTCAAAGCCTCACCTCACAGCCAGAGCTGCAGCAAATGTCCACCTCACAGTTACACCCATGAGGAAGCTTCAACCTCTTGTGTCTGTGAAAAGGATTATTTCAGGAGGGAGTCTGATCCACCCACAATGGCATGCACAAGTAAGGAAACCCATGGATCTTTGGTGATGCTAACCTTCACCAGTTTGAAGAAATAGCATGATGGAGCCTGTTACATTCTATTACTGTTTCCACTAAAACAGGCATAATGTTTAATTTGCCAATATAGGATTTCACCAGAATCCAATCTTCTTGAGTAAACATTAAGAAATTCGAGTCTCTTTTATCATTTACAGTGGGAAGCATCCGTTTTCCCTTATTTCAAGTTCAACATCTGGACCACAAATACAATCTTTTTTTTTTTTTTTTTTACTTTATGATTTATTTGAGTGCTCATGGTGGCCAAGCATGACTTTGACAAATCCATTCCCCTGTTCCTGGTAAACCGTTTTTTTTTTTTTTCCTCTTCTTGAAAGCCAACTTTCTGATCACAAAAATATCCAGTACATGGTACTTCTATATTCTTATTGTAACCTGCCCCACTAAGCTACAAAGAACAAAAAGAAGATCATTTATAAGATAGGAAACACTTACACGCACATGGAGTGCTGAGGGCTGGCAAATCAAATTAAGAGTCAAATATAAAACCAGCTGTCTACTAGGATGTTCAAATGGTTGTATTTTTTAGCAGTGAGCGTCCTTAACTATTATTAAGTATATGGTCAGATAATCTTAGAATAGATGAATAATGAACATTTTATTCCAACATTTGCAGTGGGTATCTCCATATCTGTCAGTGTTTTGGTGTGGTGTTTTTTTTTTCCTAGTGTGCCACATATTTCTGGGAAGGAAACAAGTTTACATGTTAGTTTGCTTGATGACAATACTTCTTTAGTTTTTCTATCTTCGTCTCTATAGCAAATCAAACAAAAACAAATGAAAGGGAAGAATAGTGAATCCCAACTCCCCTTACCATTCATTTTCCATGATGTCCCATTTTGTACTCTTTTAGATCCCTGTAGGTTGTAGGTGCCATCAAAGATAAAGACAATTTTTTTGAAATTTAGTACTCTCTGGTATCATATATAAAGACATATGGTTTCTTTACTTAAATAATCACAACTGAAATTTTATCTAAATTTCAGTGCCTGAATTTCATAGTGTCAGTGAAATATATATCCATTATTTCTCAAATCATTGATATTAACTTCACATTATTAAAGATCATTCTTTATCACATTCTGATACTTTTATGGGTTAGATGGTTACTAACTATAAACAATTCCTCTTCACATAGGTAAATGACATTAGTGTATACCTTTCTTAAGAGGATACATTTGAATGGAGGAGATATAAAGTGTGATTGAATGTGATGCATATTGGTTGTAGTGGAAATTGCTTCAATTATTCAGAGCAAAATAAAGCCCAAATAGTGGGGGGGAGATGTTGGCTCGACTGTACTTTGGTGAATTAGAGAAAATCATATCTTGACTTATTTCAATTTCATCAATTTTATAGGTATTCTTTTCTTTTAGTCCAACCATGATCAGTCCCTTTCTCAGCATGAATAGGAGCCTCCCATTCTGTAAAATCTAGGTTTGGGAATGGGTGAGACCCCATGCTCTGGTGCCAAGGACTGCTTAGCTCTCGTTTAGGACCTGAGGTTTATATTTTCTCTGTATCCAGGTGTGTGCATTTCTAATACGGTGTCTCAGAGGAACACTCATTTGTATGCATTTCTCAAAAAAGACAGGGAGTCCTGTAGAAGATCGTCCTAGTGAATAGTCTGTGAGAGTGTGTGTTCTGTTCTTAGTTGCATTCACAATACCACAAATACCACATATGATGATACCCTTCAACAGATAAGATCACTTGATTTATGTCTGTTTGGCTCTTTGGTATTAAATTTATGGTTTCAACTTCTTTTAATATTTTTTTCTGGTACTCTGGAAAACCAAATGCAACAAACCTATAGGAAAAGAAAATCAAACAAAATTCAGATTCTAATGAATCTGTTCAAACTGAGGGTGCCTTTCCCAGCTCTACTTGGGTTCATAAATCACGGTGTATTAGCAGGACGGTGGAATGTCATTATGTTATTTTTCAGTGCATCTCAGTCTGAGCCTTCACTGATTACCTCTTCTTTAGGGCTCCCCTTGAATAGATAAGTTTCATTTTGACTTTGAGAGGCATATGTGCCCCAGCTCACATGCTGAGGGCCTATTGGTAGCAGAGTCAGAAGAAGAGTTAGACCAAGATACAGTTTTACAGATTTAGAGGAAAGGTGGTAACTGTGGGTATAGTTACACTGGCAGGAAAAAAAAAACTCAGAATTTTGATATCTTCTGAAATAGACCTATTCCAAGTATATTTTACCTTTTTCTCACAAGGAAACCTGTAACATTTTGATCTCAAATTACATTTTTGCCATAATTTTCCACTATTAAGTAAGCAAAAGGCAATAGTAAAAAGAGTTGTATTTCCATCTTAAGTATTTGTTTCAATTTAAAAGTGACTTTTATATTGGAGTGTGTGAGACTGTATGGGAAAATTCACAGGATTCAACCACAACTACAGCAAAAGTAGAGATTTTTTAATCAAAACTGGTGATTTTTACATTATGGAGTTCTTTAAGTGACATTTTATGAATACTAGGTAGCTTTCTTATTACTTTTAAATTTAGTCCTCAGCAGTCATGGCTTAATAAATGTTAGGTAGAAATTAATATTTACTTCTATGTTTAGAACAGACAGCACATATTAAGAGAACTAAGCTATGTCATCCTGAGTAGGTTAATTTATGCTTATGAACCATTCATAGTCCATTTTATTCCCTATTGGGAAATCCTTGCTAAGTAATTCTGAAGCAAATAAAATGTGTTTTCTCTTCAAGAGCATCTGATCATATAATATTAACAGCAGACTGAAGCTGTAGGTCTGAGTCTCTACAAATCTACTCTAGAGTCAGACAATATGCAGTTAATTCTTTTGTAGACACTATTTTTAGAGCATTTTTAGGTTCAGAACAAAATTGATAGGATGATATAGAGATTCCCCATATATCCCTCATCTGCACACATTCATGGCTTGTCTTATTATCAACACCCCCTACCAGATTAATGCATTGGTTACAATTGGTAGGTAACCAATTTTAGTTCTCTTTAGTCTGCTATTATTTCAGAAATACAGTATTATACACATGAATAGCATTTGCTATTATATATAAATTTATTATGCTGATTTTTCAACATCTGAACACATTCATTCTTCTTCTTATTGTGTTTTGGAGAATTATTTTTAAAATAAGTTTTAGATTTTCAGTTAAGTAAAATGCACAGTTTTGTCGAACCACAACGTTAAAACCATATCAAAGTAAGCAAAATTTTATTACAGTTTGTAATGTTGATCAACTACTTAAATTCCAGGTTTTTATTGTCATATGAGGGAGGCTTCAAATTCTGTTGGTGGCTTATCATTAGATATGCAACTTACTTTGAGATAAACTAAGGCTGTTTTTGTTTTTCCTTTTTACTTTCTGTAGAATTTGTAGTCAACAGCCACATTAATAAACCCTCTTTCTACCTGTACTCATTGCTTAGTAAATCCTTCATGTTTAATTCCTAGCTTTCAGAGAACAAGTATCATTGAGGACTTAATCACATCAATCCCCAAGGAGAATTTTTCCTTGGACTTGCCAAAGAACTTGCCACTATTTGAATACATAATTTTTATCTACATTTTTTGCATGCACAGTTTTATTCCATAGTTCTTTATGTATACACTAAGCAAAACATCTTCTTTAACTGAATTTGTTACATTGCCAAGATAAGTCATTTCTATAGTATTTAAACCCCACTATTGTCCCTACAAAACTATAACAAGATTTTTCAAAGATTATTACAAATTGATAATTCTTGCATTCTACCCTGCTTAAAACAATGATTGCAAAGCTATTTTTTTTTTCCTTCAGACCAGAAATTTGTGTAGTAACCAATGCCTAATTTTATCATCTCAAAATTTGTTTTTTTCACTTTACTTTGCAAACCAGGACCCCCCTCAGCTCCTCGGAATGCCATCTCAAATGTTAATGAAACTAGTGTCTTTCTGGAATGGATTCCTCCTGCTGACACTGGTGGAAGGAAAGATGTGTCATATTATATTGCATGCAAGAAGTGCAACTCCCATGCAGGTGTGTGTGACGAGTGTGGCGGTCATGTCAGGTACCTCCCCCAGCAAATCGGCCTGAAAAACACCTCTGTCATGGTGGTGGATCTGCTCGCTCACACAAACTATACCTTTGAGATTGAGGCAGTGAATGGAGTGTCCGACTTGAGCCCAGGAGCCCGGCAGTATGTGTCTGTAAATGTAACCACAAATCAAGCAGGTAAGTGTGATGTCCAACCAAATCATGTACCTTAGGACACACTCTGTCAGTTATCTCCCCAGCTCAGGGCTAAGTTGCCTGAGATCTGAAAAAGAACTTCCCATTATCCAGAGGGTTAGGTCTTAGAGTAGAATGAATACATCTTGAGAAGTAGAATGAATACATCTTGAGATGCTTTTTTTTTTTTTTTTAAGTTTTAGGCAAATAAAAGCTAAAGTTTTGTAGCAGACACATCCATGGACAGAAAACAAAAGATAGGCTTTAGTTGAATTTTTTCATTAAAAAATATATTTATGGCTCAAATCCATTTGTGAAAAAAATTTTTATCTCATAATTTTGAACAGTGCAATTATTATAGCTCAGATCTACATTTTTGTTGTTTTATTCACTTCAAGTTTTTTCTTTAATTAAGTTAGCATGTAATAAGGCAGGTTTATTAGTTTGGCACTACATCTGAATTTTCTTTGCATATTAAAATAGGGTTTTCTTATTATTTCTATTATTATTATTGTAAATGCATAAGACAACTTTTCTTTGATAAATCCATTTATCAAAATTATAATAACTGTGAGCCATTGTACAACACCCATACATATGAAAATATACATATATTCCATATGAAGAACTTGGAAATATTAAGGAGTAATTATTAAGGAGTACGGAAAATAGTGCTGCTTGAATGACTAATTCCCCTAAAATTTCTGCTCAAATATTTAGTTTTAAGTAAATCCATATAGAGGAATTCTTGTCTGGTAAACTACAAATCAAGCTATGACTGAATTAATAACTCATTCTATTATGTGGCAAGAACCATTCAAAGCCTATGAGTAGCTTATAACTGGTTTTTGTCAATAACAGGTGCCTGTGTAGGAAGGGGTTTAAATGTAATGTTCCTTCTATTCCTTGGCCTCAGCTCTCAGTTCATGGGAATAAACCGGTCACCCCTTAAGTACCTCAGGTGGACTTTGCTTGGTGAAGACATCTTGCCAGTAGAGCTCATAGTGTGATGGGATGTGTTTGACTGGATTAGGTCAGACTTAATTCCTGTAATGTTAGTATAAGTTTGTAGGTAGTGGAATGATCTGATTGACAAGAAAATGTTGTCTGTAATCAAGTTTTGGTCAAAATAATTTGAATTATTGGGTGTGTCAAGGTAAATGAAGTGGTTATCTCTTGAGAATAAGAAAAACACATATCATTGGGTTCATAGTTGTTTTGACTAATAAAACTGAGAGGAACATTCAAAAGTAACCCAGAGGATACAAAAATATTTGAATTATTCACTAAGCATCATTCTAAGCACTCATGTTCTCATCCATGTTGAATGTATCCACAGCCTTTTTTTAATCCCATGGAAAAAAATAAATAAACACTGTACACCTATATGCCACTTTCCTCAGTGAAATTTTTATATTTTACTCCATTTAGTTCCTAACCTAAGGTTGAACTAATAAAAGTGCAAAAAAGAGGTAGACAAAATTAGTGAAAATTAGGTTTTCCTTCAGTATAGACTCAGCTTTGGGCACACTAGCATACATTAATTTTTCATCACAGTATCTAGATTCCACAAGTGCTCTGTGAATGTCAACTGTCTTCTCACATCAGAAAAATACTGGGATTAAACTTCTGCTTTCAACCTTCATATGCAATATCTTTCAAACTTACTTGGTTCTAAGTGTGAATCTTCCATTAACATACTGAAAGCATATTGAACAATCATGAAGAGTTGTCATCCCCTGGGAGCACATTATTTAAGCTTTCCTAACCATCTTTGAATGATGTTTCTCTGATGAACTATATAACTGTTTTTTAAATGATATTATTAATAAATATTTGCTCCAGGTGTTTTTTACTTACTGGCCTGTTAGGACTGCACAGTATGTTTTTTGAACTACAAATACTTTAAATATCAAGAAAGAATAATTTTTATCCAGCTATTCAAGGCATGGCTATCATGTAAAACAAACATTTGTATTCAGAGCAGAAACTTTGTTGACTTTTGATTTGCTGTTTTTCCCCCAAGTTTTCAGAGTGTACATACTGTAAAATCCTTACAAACCTACCAAAAAAATAAAAACAAGATAGAGATTTTCGCAGCATCTGACATTTCAGACCAACTAAATATCAATTTCACAAAAATTATTGACTTCAAGTAACTCTTAGATTTAATGCCATGGTGCTGGACATTTATCAAGTACCAACATTATAGAAAGTGGGCTACAGTAGTTGGATTTAATGTCTGAATATTTTCTCAGCCTTAAATTACAGAAAGTTATCTGGACCATAGGTGGTTTTTATACAAAACTTCTTTTAACAGATTTCAACTTTAGTTTCAATCTCTATGGAATGTTTTTTGAGAAATGCATTTGTTTCTTAATTTATTTGTTTCAAGTTTATAATTTGTTCTGTCATTTTCTGATTGATTTATATTAGTGACATCAATGTGATATATGAACAGCCCAGATTCAAAATTATGTTCAACATGTACAAGAAAAAAACAGTAATTTTTCAAGATAAGAATCTTACATTAATCTAGAAACTGAAATTGATTAGGTAACCCTGGCTGATCGGTCTATAAAAAGAAATAATGATTTTGTGCTGAGGATAGTGATTAAATGATTAATTTATGGATGTTTATACAGCATTTAAGACATTTTTCCAGCTATTAAATCATTATGGAGTCTAGCATTTTGCTTTTGCGAGAAGTCATCTGAATTCAAATGATACTTTTTTGCATGTAAATTAATAGTCAAGTCAAAAGATGAAGTTTTAAGGAAAGCTAAATACTACAGTTAGTTGGAATTTATGGGATGGGCCTTGTAGAATTCAACAAATAGTACCGAGATTGACAAAGAATTGCAAAGTTGTTGTGGGAATTATCACTCTCAAGAAATATAAACACACATGAAATGGGAAAATTGAGGGGGGAAAAAGTAATTTACAAAAAGGTAAAGGAATATTGTGTGTGAGAAGGGGAAATGATAGAAAAAAATGTGAATACATAAGTTATATAAAGAACTTTAATAGTCGAATTGCAAAGTGGATAAAATCATGGATAGACAAACCATATTTTATTAAGCTCAAACTTAGAAAAAGAATAAAGTTCATGGAGCTCCTCAAGTTTCTTGTGATTTGGAAAAATTGATGTATAAAAATTTTTTTTACAAAAATGCATTTAGATTATTTACATGACAACACTTCTATTGTTCATTCCTATTGTATTATCATTTATTTTGTCTTACCAGTGTAAGTCATCAAAAATATAACTGCTGGATAGATGGATAGGTAGATGGAGAGTGATATGTCAACATAATATGAAAATTAAAAATCCCATTGAAAACAGTTACTTTAAATGTTTCACTATCAGCTCACAAAAGTGTGCATTTATCATATTCCTCTATAAACTTATTTTTTAGGATTTTACTTTAAAATAATTTTTCACTGGGCATACTTTAATCAAGAACTAAATCATGACGCTCTTTAATATATCAAATGTGTATTTTATCCCCAGGAACAATAAGCTCATCCCAACTAAAAAATGAAAAGTATTCCTACTTTAATAAGCCAAGGTACAGAATCCTAATTCTGAGCTAAAATAGATCAAATTTTAATTGTTTTGAATTAGTCTTAGACTCTTCCACTTTTTCATCAAAGGGCTAGATTAACATGATATGAGTTACAAAGTGTAACAAACACTTTGGAGGGAATATCCCAACCTGTCCCAGCTATCAGAAATATCACCAAGAAAGGTGAGTCCTTTATTTTGAAAGGTTTTATTTCTTGATTCTTCCAAAGGTATCTGGGAGCATGATAATTCCATTTCAGGTACTTTCAATTTGATGCAATTTGCATGGTTGTTCAGAATGATGTCTTACAGGATGTGGCAATGCCCAGGGTTCCTGAAACTAAATTATGCCATAGAGTTGGAAATTTAAGAGAATGCTGATGGTAAAAGCACATAAGTGTTTCTGAGAAGAGGGAAGCAGACATTTTCTGTTGATCTCTGTTTATTGAGGTGTTGAAAAGTAAGTTCATTGTCACTTGCTCAGTCATTGCTATGATAATTCTGAGGGTCTTTGTTGACTTTCTTCTGTGGAGAGAACTTACTGGCTATCTTTGTAATCACCACTACATTAAATATATTGTTGTTTGCCAAGATTAGTTTGTCTTCTATACAGACTAAACAAGGTAATTTAAATTTGCATGTAGGTAATACTCAATATTTTTACTTTTATATATATATTTTTGTGGTGGCACTAACTGCTGCATCCCCCACAGATCCACTAGGTATGTGTGTTTACTCTTTTGGTGGGAGGAAGAGTAAAAAGAGGAAGCTTTATGATTTAGTTTAGTTTGGTCATTACTGTAGTTTCACAGCTTTTACTGCATGGGGCTCAGAGACAAAGAGATTTTTTAGAGTTGAAGAGGAAATCTTCCAAGTATACACCTATGACTGGTGAAATAAAGAACTGAATGGTGGCATCAATGTGCCAGTTGTAATGTGGGCTCAGGACAAAATCTCATTCATCACATTACCATCATGACCTCCACTCAGATCATGGTTTCTTAGGAGTATTTTGGATCCGCAGACATTAGTGTTAGCTCTATAATCTGTTAAAAGTATATTCTGTATGCTAGTAAATCTAAATTTAGATCTTGAAATCTAAAATTTACAATCTGGGTGGTAACACCCCCTGCCCCCCATTTATCTAGAACTGGCCAGAGATTTCCCTCAGATAAGCTGAAAAGGAAAATGTACAATATTAATATATGTTACTATTGCACAGTACTCCATAAGCACAGTTTACTCTTCATTTAATAGGGTCAGTGAGCTTACTCAGGTCTGGGTGTTGGTGAGACACCATGACTAACACTAAATTTTGATTTGTATTTCTTAGACCTTGATATCATTAGTGGTATAGATGAGAGGGTCCATTGTTTCAGTTGCTTAATGCCTTGGTGCTAGACTTTTTACCATTCACATTTTCGCATATTATGAA